CCGGACGCCGGACGGTGACCACCGAGACTTCGACTGCGAGAAAACGGTGGCGGAATTCGGGAACCAGCTGGAGAGCAAGGAACTTCTGGATCCTGCGGCTGCCCCCCGGGGGCGAGCTCCCCAAGGTAACGGAAGGCCCGCGAAGGGCTCGGGGCGGCGGGTGGCCGGGGCCCCAGCGCGCCTCGCCTGCGCCCGGCAGCCCGAAACGTTCAGAGAACCCCGCGGGAACCGGCGGACGCTTGCGATCGCTTTCGTCGCCTGCCGTACGTAAGCAGCCGGCGGGGAGCCCTGGCTCGGGTACGTGTTTGGGTTCAGCTGCATCCCGCCGCAAAAGGACAGATTGTGGCATTTTACGGTAAACGGCAGGTTCTTCCCCACGCCGGGGGGGTCCACAAACCGCCTGCGTGAGGGGATCGGGCTCTGCGCAGGGGGAGGTGTGAATGCTGTGGAATTCGCAGTTCGTTCTCTGAGAATTGGCCCAAATGACCGAAGTTCTTTAAAGTGAAGAGTTGAGTCCTTACTCTTTGTGCCACGAGAATGCCCCAAGGCAGGGTTTTTTTTTCCTCCTTTCGGTACTTGATGCACAGCAGCAGTAATACATAGAAAGGGGGATCTTTCCTAAGGATGTTTCGTCGGCTCCGGGTTCCAGACCCGGTGCCGAGTGTGTCACGTTTGCGATTTCAGGCCCCGGCGGCGTTCGAGAGCAACGCCGCTTACTTTTCTGCGCAAGAGTGGGAGAATCTGGAGGAATGGCAGAGGGAGCTGTACAAAAACGTGCTGAGAGGGAATAACGAATCTCTGATCTCTCTGGGTAAGTATCACTTTCTCAGTCAGTTACCGGCGCCTCCGGACTGGCTCTGTTTTGGGGATTTTTTCCCACACCTGGGAAGCAGATTTGTAGAAACATGGAGAAGTCGGTGCCTGTTGCTGAGGGCAGCACGGCGCGTCCAGTCCCTCCGTCTCCAGCACTCGCTGGCTTTTGGGCGCTGGCTGCGGTCACCTCCGTGTCACGGCCCGCTCCCTGCGGCGCCCGGCGCCAGCGCAGCCCGCAGGCCCCTGCCCTCCCGGGTCCGGGTTTTTCCCCGCTGGGGTGGGGTTGGCCGCCAGAGGCCGCCGTCTCCCGGTGGGCCGTGCGGAGGGCTCTCCCCACTGCCAAGCGGCGTGTTGTGGCCGATGGAGCCGGTTCAGGGAGCGCAGCTGAGTGAGTTCTTCCCCGTGGACTCCGCTCGCCCCATCCAGGCTCCTTCCCTCACCTGGCGCAAACGGCAATGGGGGCAGTTTGATGCGGCACAGAAACCTTAGTATCTCCGTTCCTCAACAGATGACGCAATCTCCAAACCTGACCTCCTGTCCCGGCTTCAGAGAGGAGAAGCGCCCTGCAACGGGGACGGGGCGGCTTCGAGAGAGATTCCAGCAGAACCAAGTGCAGGCAAGAGATGAATTACAACTTTATTCTCAGGCGTAACGTTTGCGTGGTGTTGTCACCAGGCAGAGGACGTCGCAAGGTGATAGTCCTGACTTGTTACGGAGGGAACTTCTCAGATCTCGGGAGGAGCGGGTTCAGAGGGAGTAACGGAGCGTTAGAAAAAAACGTAACGGGTTTGATCTTTCCCGTTAGCAGAGTCTCTGCTGTTCAGACTTGATGTGAACAGCCAGGACAGCAGAGAAGGAGCGCAGTGCCCGACGGGACAGGAAAGCCTGGAGGGAAGAACAGTGCTGGCTGAACCCAGACCCGGTGAGCGTTGTTCTGAAAGGGTGTGCTTGGACACACGGGCAGGGAGGACACACTCCTGAAACGGCAGGTAAAGGGGAAACCGCTTCTCTGCAGGGCGGAGTAAAGCTCCCAGAAGTAGGAACGGGAGATGCTGGAGAGAGGCTGTGTATGAAAGCAGGGTAGCTGGCAGCAAACCTCCTGGGCAAAGGAGGAGCCGAGCGGTGCTGTGATAACCAGTAAAGAAGTTTCCTCTTTACATCGACAGACTACGGCATTCCAGAGCCGAGCTTTGCAGGCGTTGTGAAGCAAGAGGAAGAGCTGTGTGCGGAGGAGCGGGGAGCCACGGACGATGCGGAGTTTACCGAGCTCAGTGTGGGTGAGTTCCGAGCGATCCCGCAGCGCGCTGTGCAGCTGGAGATGCGGGGAGTCCCCGACGTTCCCGCTGTGGGACAGCGTATGCCGAGACGCGGGGACTGAGGAGGGGCAGGCGGGGCAGTGGGGAAAGAGCAAGAGCCGCGCTGAGGTTAGGAGAGCGGGCAGAAAGTGTACGGATCGTTTTACTAGTAGGAAGATGAAAGTGCCGGGTGGACAAGGCACTGCAAGCGAGGAGACGGGCATCCCTGAAATAAATCAAACAGAATACAAGGAAACATTAGGAATGAGATCAAGAACAATTCTCAAGGTCTTCTCCAAAGATGATGTTATGCCAAAGTACCTGGGGAACTGAGCGAAGTTCTGCTTACTCAGTCTTGAAAGGAATGCAGTAGGCAGGGACGCGGTCCAGAGCAGCGCAGCGAGGTGGAGGGCTTCCGTATCAGGAGAGACTGAAGGCGCTCCTGATTCCTCAGCCTGAGGAAGGTGTGGCAGAGGGGGATACAACACGGGTCTGTGCCTGGGTGAGCGGTGCACAGCAGGAGCTGAAGGAATGAACCTTCGCTCTTTCCCACTGTCCGAGATCAGGGAGCACCCGGTGAAATGAGCAGGCGTTTGCTTTAACCCAAGCAGGGCAAAGCCCGTTATCGTACGTGTGCAAGCTGTAGAACCTACTGCCACAGGGCACAGCAAAGGCTGGAAGCAAAACGGGCTTAGAAGGGGTTTGGACAAATTCCCAGATGGAATGTGACCTCTGGCTCCCATCCTGCTGCAGGGAGGCCGTCCCCCGCGTTCGGCAAGGCTGTGGCTGATGCAGAGCTCGGCTCTTCCCTGCAGCCCCTGGGCTTCTTGGCACCCGGCCCAGAACGCTCCGCTCCTTCTTGTAGGTCCTGTCTCGCGTCCTCCAGAGCACGTCTGCTGCTCTTCTCCTGGAATTTCTCCCGCTTGACTGCATCCTCAGAAGAGGGAGCTGTGCTCCAGAGCAGTGCCTCGATGGCTACCTAGAGGCTAGGGAAGTCACCGGTGAGCTGGGATGGCTCTGTTGTTCCCAATAATAATGTGATATTCACTTGATTAATAGACCGTCGCCAGCTCACCAGTCGCTTCCTCACCCTCAGTCCTGGTCTCTGTTTATTCTCCTTGTGCCACCTCAGAGGTGTCAGTGGGGCTTGCTCAGTTTTTGATGGTATTTGCCCTGTTGTGACTAAATCTTAGATGCTTTTTCTCGTGCGCCTTGTGTCATGTTGTCACCTCTCCGCTGTCAGTCACCGCACAGCACTAGTGAACTGGGGAGTGACGCTCTCCAGACAGGAGGCTGATC